CCATGGTACATATAGTTTGAGTGTCTCATGTCTCACAGGCATGCTCTCCTGCCCAGTGTGCCCTCTCCCTCCAGACCTCTCTTTGTATGCTGTGGGACCCCTTACCATCTTCAGACCTCAATGGGACTGGTTAGATAGCACCATGAATGTCTGGAACTCTCTAATCTCTTCATCTGGGGTGTTCTTATGACAGTTTAATCAATAAGCTATTTAGAATGACTCTATGTGTGTTGGAGTAATGCCACTGTGCTGTAAAATTCAGCAGTGCAGCTGAGCCAGCACTTGGCTTATCTTTCGCTGAATACAGATGGCCACAAGAAGAGGCAGGTGGGTCCAGCACAAGAAACCTGAGTCAAACCACAGAATATTGAGAAATACTGACTGTGGCTATCTGTCTGCATTAAGCTCCCCACCTGACAGAGAGCAGCTCGAATGTGAAGTTTTCTGTGCTCACTCCAGGGCCCTTCCCCATGTTCCCTCTGCCATGCTACTCGTCTTGTAATTCCATTTTCATTTTCCAGATGGTTTCTGTCTCCAAAGACATGTTGAGGACTGGGGCTATGTCTGTCCTGAGTACTCTCAGAAGTGGTGAGATAGAGTCTTGATCACTTGCCAAATTCAGAGTACTTGGGGCTTGGTGGAACTTTCCAAAGAATCAAATTAAAATTAGGAGGAGAGGGGGAAGGTGATAGCTCAGTGGTATACCACATTTTTGGTATGCATAGGTCCTGGGTTCCAGCGCCTGCATTCTCAAAGTCAGTATACTCCAATGTCATTTGTGTGTTTAAAAAGTATATATGTATGATGTATGTATATGTATATCATATATATATACACACTTTACATGTGTGTATATATATTTGTGTCTGTGGTGTATGCATGCGTACATGTGTAGGGGCATGTGCAGACCAGAGAGGGACATCAGGTGCTTTCCTCCATCACTTTTCACTTTATTTTCAAGACAGGACCTCCCACCATTAACCTGGAACTGGTCAGCAAGCCCTCAGTTATGATTGTCTGTCTCCCCAGAGCTGGGATTACAGGTGTACACCACCATCTTGTAGGCTGGCTTCCTACAAGGGTTCTAGAGATCAGAACTCAGGCCTCATGCTTACATGGCAATTACCTACTGAGCTATCTCCCAAGCCTCATGCAACTTGTCCAATAAAGACTTGAAAGAATATTCTGTTAATAGCAGGTCCCATACCTGGAGTGCTTCTGATGTAGCAGGAAACCCTGATTGTGAAAGTCAGTATTAAGATGGTGCTCATCCTATCTGCAATCCCTCAAAGAATACACAGCAAAAGGTGGGTTAATTGCTCAAAGAAGAGTCTCCAGAGGAGGCAACATGCAAGCCTGAACTGAAAGAGTAAACAGATAGTTGCACTGATTAAAGAAACTTGTGGCTACTTTCACCCTACCCCTGAGGAGGAGGAGTGATGGCCTGGATTGGTTCAATGCAAGAATACTAAACTATGTCGCAGAGGTGGAGTAGGGGGTGGAAACCAGTGTGTAGCAAAGGTTGTCCCAGTTGGGATGGCAAAGGGCTGATTCTCCTCTCTCAAACACGCCAGGTAAGATGAGGTGGGGTCTTCTTACTGAGAAGGAATGTATTTATTTGTGTGGGGGCAGAGGAGAGGGGGAGGGAGGGAAGGAGAGAGAGAGAGCTCACATATGGAGGTTAGAGGGTAACTTGCTGGAGTTAGTTCTCTTGTACCATATATGTCCTGGGGATCAAAGTTTGGTTGTCAGGCTTGGCAGCAGGGCCATCTACTGAACCATCTTGCCAAGTCCCAGGGTTATTCTTTTTGGGAATTAATTGTGCCCTCCTCTCACCTCATTCCCTTCTTAGAAGAAAACTTCATAGTCCATGCAGCTCCAAGTGGTTAGGTCTGGGTGCTGGGAAGAGGCCAGACACCAAGAGATAGCAAAAGTTACTTTGCTTGCCGTGCCTTCTGTTCAGATACACCCCCAGGAGCACTCCGGGGCACTGCTGGGGGACTGGATGGTGACCCTGACAGTTGGGCAGGAAATAGCCAAAATAGTTCTTGGGAAGGAAAAGGTTGAATTATGAGCAGAGAGTACTATATTACAAGTATAGAGCAATAAGCAGTGAGCTGCATGGAGAACCACAAAGTACCACCAGGGGAAGGTCCGGTCACTCCAACAGAGGACGGCTAGCCCGGCTCCATGAGGGTACACCTACCAGGGTCAAGGTTGCTGTGGCACTTAACCTGTGGCAGACATGCATCTAAGTACTTAGATCAACTCACAGCATGGGCTACTGAGACAACCTGCTCAATACCACAGATGAGGCTCAAGAGACAAACTGTCCTCTTTCATGCAAGCTCAGTTAGCCACATCACCAAGATGGAGTCAGATCTGCTGACCTGGACTTACCAGGAAGTGACCTGAAGGAGCTGGTACTGGAGTTAAGTCCAAGCTGAGACAGGGAGCCAGGCCTGTGGAGACTCCCAGCTCATAGAGGAGCAGTTTGAGAAAAGGGAGGTCCAGCAAAAAGGACCAAAGAGAGGACACCAAGTCATAGCCAAGTCAGAGATTATACATGCTGCTGGGGCAGAGCCAGCTCCACCCTCAGAGAGGGCTTGCCCTTCCCTGTATCACACTGAAAGTTGGCTATACTCCAACTCCTTCCATCTTAGCAGAGGAAATGCGCTGTTCTTCACAAAGCAGATTTACTGAAGTATTAAAACAGAAAAGTTTTCTTTCTGGAAATGACTCTACACAAAGCTGAAAAACAAAACAAAAAAACTAAAACAAGTCTTGCTATATATAGTCCAGGCTATCTCAGCCTCCTGATGCTGGGTTACAGGTGTGGCCACCCAACAAACCTGGTTTAGAGAAATAACGTTTAAATTATGTTTTAAGATGAGAAAAGTAGTAGTGGGTGCCCATAACCCCAGCACCAGGGGGATGAAGGCAGGGGAATCAGAAGTTCAAGGTTATCCTTGGATATGAGTTTGAAGGCCAGGCTGGTATGCATAAGAAGGGGGCAGAGCAGAAGGGAAGAAGGAAGGAAGGAAAGGCAGGAGAAAGGGAAAAAGAAAAGAAGGTAAAAAGAGATCACTGACCCAAATTTGCCAGACATAGGAGTATGCACCGAGTAGCTGTGACAGTGACATGGACACCGCTTGTCACGGTTCCTCCTCCGGTGCACCAACACTGCCGCAGAGCTGTGAGCAGCAGTGGAAGTCTACAGCTGGCCTTTCTAATGTGCTCAGCAGCGCCACTGTCCCATGCATGTGCACAGTCCTCCCCTTGTTACTAACTGCTGCTACTCTGCCTCGAGGACCTGCTCTGTGCTCGATCTGTGGCAGACACTGGACAGCCTATAATACACAAGTACTAGAGCACAGTCCGTTCCAGTAACACCTGCCATCAAAAGCTACTATCTGAAAACATATGCTAAGCACATGTTCTAGAACACTCGTCTGCACTTGGCAGTCATAGGAGCTAACATTTACTGAACACTTAACCGTGCACCAAGCACTATACCAAGCTACTGTTTTCCTTTTGACTCTTAAAAAGTTATTTGTTGTTGTCATTACTGTTTAAAATTATTTGTGATATGCATGCCATGGCACGGATGCAGAGGTCAGAGGGCAATCTCTAGGAGTCTTTTCTTTCTACCATGTGGATCCCAGGGAGCTAATTCAGGTTGGGCTTAGCAGCAAGCATCTTACTCCACTGAGCCATTTCACTGGCCCTCTTTGAGTCTCACTGTATAGCCTAGGCTGGCTCTGAACTCATGATCACCTGCTTAGCCTCTGAGTCTGGGATTATAGGCATGAACTCCCTTCCCCAGCTTCTGTACTAAATTCTTTATAGACATTGCTATTTTCTTGTCACTAAAAGTCCTAAGAGAGCCAGGAATGTAATTCACGGGCACTGCACTTGCTGAATGTACATAAGGCCTTCTGTTTGACTCCCCAATACCAAACACACCAAAAATAAAAGGAAAAAACAAAAAACAGAAAAACCTCTTCCAAGGAGCTGGGTGTGATGGCATATACCCATAATTTTTACTTGGAGGACTGGGGCAAGAAAATCCAGAGTTTGAAACCTAGACTACAGAGTGAGACCATGTCTCAAAAAAAAAAAAAAAAAAAAAAAAAAAAAAAAGAGGGTGGATATGAGACAAGCCTATGTCTGCTTGCTTAACTATGCAGCTGGAAAGTAGCAGAAGCAGTATTTGAACCTGAGTAAGCAGAATTCACACTACACCATCCTCTCAGCCTACAATGCCTCAGGGATGCTGACAGTTTGCCTGCTATCCTTTGGTCTGCACTGAAACTTTCTTAAGGTCTTACTTCTTCTGGTGTGCCACAAGATGAGTAATTAAGGTAGCAGAGATAAGTGCAGGTTAGCAAACAACACAGGACCAAGTTCCAGAGCAGGAAGAGAGATGAGGCAGTTTGCCAGGCCAGGCCGTTGGCAAAAGAGCAGGATGGTGTGTATACTCTCATTGTTCAAACTTTACTTACTCCAGCTGCCTCAAACAGAGTGGCAGCTGGTCATTACTGTAATCCTAGCACTAGAGAGTGAAAGAGGATGTCTTAATAACCAATATTAGTTCCACTATGCTGTCCTCTCAGCCAGATGGATCCAGATGGGCAGAGATAGAGAGGATAAACTAAGAGAAATGTAGAATGCAGAACCAGCAGAAGGTGGGGAGGAGACGCTCTGAGGAGGTCAGGGGAGAAATGTGGGGCTTCCTTAAACTTATTATGTAGCTAAGGATAACCGAGAACTCTGGATCTTCTTGCTTTTCTGACTCCTGTACCGACAGACTAAAGGCATGCACCTCAACTTCAGTCAGTTAACGTCTTAGCTGAGTTGAAAAAAGGGCTGAGTTGGATTCTGGGAGAGACCTGACGGGGACAGAGAGGCATCCATCCCACTGGTATCGAAGATTCCTGGTTCATCTGTGACTTCTGTGTCTCCCCCACGCACCCACCCACCCCCGGCCTCCCCCGCAGATGGCTCGACTCTGCCGCAGGTCCAAGAATACCATGACACTGGCTTTCCTTTTAGTGGGTATGACTTTTGTGGGGCTGCACCAGTGGGTCCTTCAGATGCCCACACAGGAGAAAGCTGAGGGCACCAACGCTGCTTCCTGGTCTTCTGCAGCTGCAGTGCAGCCGTCGCCGCCCCTCCCGGCGCCTCCGTGCGTGGCCAACGCCTCTGTGAACCTCACAGAGGGCTTCGAGCAGCTACCCGCTCGGATTCAAGACTTCTTACGCTACCGCCACTGCCGCCGCTTCCCACAACTGTGGGACGCGCCTCACAAGTGCGCGGGCCGCCGAGGCGTCTTCCTGCTGCTGGCCGTGAAGTCCTCGCCTGCGAACTACGAGCGGCGCGAGCTGATCCGACGCACGTGGGGCCAGGAGCGCAGCTATAGCGGGCGACAGGTGCGTCGCCTCTTCTTATTGGGGACCTCCCCTCCTGAAGAGGCAGCGCGCGAGCCTCAGCTGGCTGATCTGCTGGGACTGGAGGCGCGCGAGCACGGCGACATGCTGCAATGGGACTTCAAGGACACCTTCCTCAACCTCTCGCTCAAGCATCTGCACCTGCTGGATTGGACAGCGGAGCACTGCTCGGGTGCGAGCTTCCTGCTCAGTTGCGACGACGACGTCTTCGTGCACACGGCCAACGTGCTGCACTTCCTGGAGGTGCAGTCGCCCGAGCACCACCTCTTCACTGGGCAGCTCATGGCCGGTTCTGTGCCGATCCGCGACAGCTGGAGCAAGTACTTCGTGCCCCCGCAGCTCTTCCCGGGCAAGGCCTACCCAGTGTACTGCAGCGGCGGCGGCTTCCTTCTGTCCAGCCGCACAGCCCGCGACCTGCGCAGGGCGGCACTCCATGTCCCACTTTTCCCCATCGACGATGCTTACATGGGCATGTGTCTGCAGCAGGCCGGCCTGGAGCCCAGCAGCCATGAAGGCATCCGGCCCTTTGGCGTACGGCTGCCGGGTGCAAAGCGCTCATCCTTCGACCCCTGCATCTATCGCGAACTCCTGGTGGTGCACCGTTTCGCGCCCTATGAGATGCTGCTCATGTGGAAGGCACTGCACAACCCAGAGCTGCACTGTAGCCACAGGCACAATGCAGGGTCTCCTGAGGCCAGAAAGCTCGGGAGCTGAGAGTGCATCTTCTGATCTGAACCTCCGATGCACACTAATGTCACCTTGGGTGCAGATCTGGAAAGCACTATATCCTAGCACATGATCCTATGATCCTGGCCTCAACTTCAGGGGTTCTTGGTCACAATCATTTTCAGACTTGTAGGTGTGTGTTTCTTATTTTAAGCTGACTCCAAGACCTCTGGGCCGGGAATATCTGTTTATCCTCACACACCAGCATTCCAGGGCACTGTCTTCCATCATCCATTCATTGTAGGCAAGAGAGGCATGGCTGTCAAGATCAATGTCAGCTGTCAAGTGCAGCTCAATTATGAGTGTCATTTCCACTGTTTCCTCTACCAATGAGTGGAGCTTCCAGAAATCGGTTCACACTCAGAACTAAGGCATGTCTGGCAATCTTGCTTCCACCATGCTCCAGGTCAAACTGGAAGTGAAGCTCATTTAGGCCTGCAGCGGAGGCATATCCTGCACAGCCACCTTTCTGCAGTCTCCTAGTAGCTACAGCCTTGCTCCCTAATGCTTTAGGAAATGCATGGCTGTGTGGACAGTAGCCATCTGTCCCAGTGGCTTGGAGTATATCTTCAAGAACATTGTGTTAGTTTCCTGTTGTTGCTGTAACAAATTCTCATTTTGAAGCTTAGGGATAAGAAGCCCACTTTTCCCATAGTTCTCTGACAACATAGGTCTCATTAGGCTAAAGTCAAGGTGTTGGTAAAACTGCCTTCCTTCCTTTCCTTCCTTCCTTCCTTCCTTCCTTCCTTTCTTCCTGGGAATCCTAGGGGAGAACACACACCCACTTTATTCCCTATCTCCTAGAGGAGGCCTCCTTCATCTTCAAAACCAGCAATGCTACATTTCTCTACAGCCAAATTTCTTTCTGACTATTCTTTCTCCTCCATCCACTTCTCTCCTTCCCTGGAACTAAAACCCGGGTTCACCTGGATAATCCAGGCTTAGCTTTCCATCTGTTTATTTATTAAGACAAAGTCTCACATAGCCCAGGCTTCCCTGAAATTTGCTATGAGGTCAAGCATGATCTTGAATCTGGAGCCTCCTGCCTTCACCTCCCAAAGAGTGGATTACAGGTTTGTCTCCACACCCAGGTAGGTAATAGCTTCATGTTGTAAAGCCAGCTCACTGGTAATGTCATTCGTGTTGGCGTTGATGTGTAACTTATTTTAGTCACATCTTATTTAGATAACATCTTGTCGTTCACATGTACCCTAATTTAGTCACAAGTTTCAGAGATTAGGGTGTGGAGATCCTTGGAGGACCACTGGTTCTGTCTACCATGATGCCAATAAGTATGTGTGAGAACAATAAAGAAAATAATAAATGAAGGAAATTAACACAAACATGCTTTATTCTCAACAAATGGTCCTAATGCCAGCTCTCACTGTGGATAATTGAGCATTATTAATCTGAAGTTCCCTACTTTGCAGCCTTGTTCTCAGTTCCCTGGAAGAAGGTTGTCTCCATTTTGGGGGCAAGGATATTAAGATTCTGGTGTTTTAGGACTGGAAAGATGGCTTAATGGTTAAGAGCAATAACCACTCTTCCTGAAGACCTGGATTCAATTCCCACCACCCATGTGGCAGCTAACAACTATCAGTAACTCCAAGATCTGACACTCTCACACAGACATACATGCAGGCAAAACACCAATGTACATAAAATAAAAATACATATTTTAAAAAAAAAGATTCTGGCATTTTGTAACCTTAGAAATGGTAGGAAAGTCACAGATTTGGATCCGATATTTGACTCTGGGGCCTGGCCACTCATCTCTGAGGCTGAATTGGTCTCGTGTACAAGAACAGGAAAGGTCACTGGGTCCAAGGAGCCCTGGGTGCCACCCAAGTCACCTGGAGGATCAGGCGTGCTGGGTGACTCCTCCAGGCCCGAGTGCCGCCAGGGGGCGCGCCTGCCACGTGGTGCGTCTCTCCTTGGTGGTGCAGGGCTGGCCAGCTGGGCTGAGGTTTCTGGGTGGCCAGTTCCAACTGACGTCCAGAGAGGCAAGGAACTCTGGGCTTTGTTAGATCAGCAACTAGGGAGCTGGACCAGACCTCCTGTCACCAGCCCTCACTCTGCATCCAGCCGCCTCTGTCGAGGCCGCCCTCGGGTGTCACAACTTCTGTGAAAAGCCCAGCATACTCTGACTTCCCAAGAACTCCAGGAGTTGGGAAAAGATATTCCTGACTCATGACGATAGATGGAAAATTCCGGTGTAAATATGATAATGACTAGTAGAGTGTAGGAATACATGCTCAAATTCCCAGCACTCTGGAAAGTGAGGCACAGGACCCTGAGTTCTGAGCCTGTGCTAAACCTACTACATCAAGACCCTGTCATCTCAAAAAAATAAATAAATAAAATAAAATAAAAAAAATAAAAAAAAGGAGGAGCAGCGGGTGAGGGGGGTCCCCTCTTGATACAAAGTCTTATGTAACTTAACTTGGGCTTTGCCTGGAATTCATGTTGAGTTGAGGATGGTCTTGAAATACTGATTTTTCTGTCACTAGCTCCCAGATCCTGGGATTATAAACCAGCTTTACCATAACCAGTTCTCAAATAGTATTGTTATTTAACACAATATTGTATCAATATATTATATTAATATATTTATTGTTGTTATTACCTATTTATTATTGTTGTTGTTGTTTTGGTTTTTCAAGACAGGGTTTCTCTGTGTGACAGCCCTGTCTTGGAACTTGCTCTGTAGATCAGGCTGGCTTCAAACTCACAGAGTTCTGCCTGCCTCTGCCTTCCGAGTGCTGGGATTAAAGGTGTGTGCCACCAAATTATTTTTTTAAAGCCTCAGAAGTTGATGCTGGGAAGATGGCTCAGCTAGTAAAGATACTTGCTGCCCAGCTTGACGACACAGATCCAGTCATTCAGACTGCATAAACATGAAAGTAAAGGTATGGAGTTTTTTTATTTGTTTTGTTTTTTTATTTTAGTCTTAGAAGGGATATGAGTGATGGCTCAGTGGTTAAGAGGTCTTACTATTCTGGGTTCAGTTCATGGTGGCTCAAAACCATCTGGAATTCCAGTTCCTGGGATCCAGTGCCCTCTTCTGGCCTTTGGGGTCACTAGTTACCCATGTACATAATGCTCATGAAGTCTCCCAGGCACTTAGAATTTGTTTTGTTTGGTTTTGTTTTTCCAGTTAGACATTAAGTTATTTTTCAAGCTTCAGATGTTTATAGCCAAATGAAATTCTAAATTTACCTCCTCTTTTTAAAGTATCTATTTATTTAAGACATGGTTTCATGAAGCCCAGGCTTGCCCACAACTGGCTGCATAGCAGAGGATGACCCTGAATCCCTGATCTCCTGTCCCAGACTTTCAAGTGCTGCTTTTCTCGGCATGGGCCACTATGCCAGGCTGTATTTCTTCTTTCTGTAAGGTTGTCAACATACCCTCTCTATCATGAAATAAAATTCCTACATGATGTAATCACATATTTTCAAAAAGATCAATATATCAGTTAATTTCATATAAAATCTAAACAAAAGAAAAACACATTAAAATAAGTATAGCTTGGGCATAACAAAAATCTCTGCATATTCCCAAATTTTCCTGTAGGGGACAAAAGGCCCTCCCTGAGAACTCTCAGGCCACACACAGAAAACCCTCAAAATAGAAAACTGATTAAATTAGTAAGGAAATATATCCTTTTCCAGATGCAAAATCCATGTAGTTTCTATAAGAATAGTTAAGAAATGCTAGCTAGTATTTTGTTAATACTCTTTGTTTTGGCTTCATTTGTTTATTTTGGTGTCTTGCCCTGTTGCCCAGGCTGGTCTCACACTCATGCTTTGAGTGCTGGGACAAGATAATTCCCTGAGTTCTAGGCCAGCCTAAGCTATAAAGAAAGATTCCAAAAACAAAACAAAATACTGTTAAAATATTGGTATAATAGAAACCAAAGGCACTTGGAACTATGAACAGACATATACAAAACAGTAATGTCTTAAGATGTTTTTAAATATGTAATTGATGTTTAGAGACAGCATGTCATAAGTTACAGCTAAGCCTCTGATTCACTGGATTCTCATCACCAGAAACCGGGACTGTTGTGGTCTCTCTCCATTTGGCAGAAGTGAGAACTGATGCCCAGGTAGGGAGGAGACTTCTTCAAGACCACAAAGGTCTAGAGGGCAGCAGGGACTAAGTACCCTGCCTCCTGCCTGTTCCTGAGCTCTAACCAGTCCCCCGACCCCCACACTTGCTGGTCACTTACGCCTGAGCTGACAGCTGCCCAGGACAGAGGAAGCAGACAGCAATTTGGTTAGCTGTTATCTTTATAGGGTCTGAACTGCTGTTGGATTGGCCCTGCCTTTGCTCTCTATAGTGCTGGGAGGACTGCCAGTCTCTCAGCATTAAATCAACATTCTAACAATTTCTTTGGAGAGAAAGGCCCTCTCCACTCTGGGACAGTCATTTCAGACTAATCCTGGTTGGTGCAGGCTGCTCCCCCCTCCCCCACCGCCAACCTGCAACCCCACCTGCCTGAGAATGACAAACAGCTCCATTAATGCAGTCCTCCCAGATTAACCACAATGCTCCCAAGAACTCGGATGACATCAGTTTTTTTTTTTTTTAATGCCATCTTGTTCTTTATTCTTGCCCTCTAAGGTTTAAACAGAGTAAAGACTGAATGGAGATTTATGCTTGGCCTTTGTGGGCTTGACTGCTACCGAAGGGGACTGAACAGTAGAGGGAAGGATATAGGTAGTGGAGAGATGTTGACCAGGGAGAGAGGAAGAAGAGGAGGGTTCCAGGATAGCAGAATTGGAAGGGACTTGGGCCCTTGTCAGGATGGAAGGGGAGAAAGTGTCCTTGGGTTTCAAGGTGAGATTGATTCCTAGAAGTTGTGTGTGGTGTGTGTTTGGGGCTGGACAGTGAGCAGGTACTTGACAGGCCAGGGACAAAGGTTGACTGGCTTAGGCTTTGGGGGTTATGACTAAGGATGTGGGTCCAGCAGGCAGGGTCTA